ATTTATATGTCCATTTATATATTTCTGCTTTTAATTATGTCAGTTTCGGTCCTCCATACTCAATGCGATTTAAAAACATGACATGTCTCCTTTAATTTTCTTTTTGACGTTTTAATTAAGGAATAAACACTTTTGAATCTCCTGCACACATGAAATGCATCTGCCTAAAATGAACCAAAGATGAAAAACTTGCAAGTAAAAGAAAAGAAAAGAAAAAAAAACATCCTAAACACAAACACACAGACAGAGGTTTTATTAGAAGAAGGCAACCTTTCAGATCAAAAGAAGAATTTGCTGAGAAACAAACACAAATGCTTTATTTTCTGCACAGTGACATAAACAACATTTATTTCCCTTCAGTAATAAAACTCTTTGTGTTTCTTTCTTGTCCCCGATGTCCCCACCTCAGAGTGATCCAATCGAGTGCAGCCATACAGCATTTAGTAAATAAATTCAGCTCAGACAGTAAATTCACCTGTCAGGCCTACAGTAGCTGTAAATTTGAAGAGGATTTTATTTTATTTTTTTTTGACACTAACTAATCACTCGACCTGAAGTTAAAAGTTCACTTGTGTCGTCGATTAATCGATTAATCGTTGCAGCCCAAACGCCAGTATCAGGCTAACACCTGCAGCAGCTTAGCAACAAATATCTGCAGGTAAAACTAAAACAAACACCAGAAACCATCCGTGTGCCTCCATCATCATCTCCATCATCAGAACCTTTTTATCTCTGTTCCCACTCTCCCAAAAGTTACTCCCACACAAAAAGTCCTTGTGACTCTGTGCTCCACCCACTGCCCACACCCCCCCACCCATGCACAGCAACAATAAAATCCAACAAACACAAAACATTTTCCAGTTTCATGCTGACGGGAGGACAGAGGGCCCCTATCCCGTAACCATGGAAGTGACATACCCACACGTCCTGCCTGAAGTTACTATCTAGGCCGACGGTCATCGGGTAAATTCTTTCACTGCTCTTCCTTTTTTTCAAAAGTGCCATTAAAGTTCAAACGCAAACATTCACTTAGGGAGAGTTTTGCAAATGGCACAGGCCTCAGGGTCTGGGTTTTAATGTGTGTGTGAATGAGAATGTCCACATCTCACCGTGCTGTGTGTTTGTGTGTGTGTATGTGTGTGTGTGTGTGTGTGTATGTGTGTGTGTGTGTGTGTGTA